CATTGTTATCATATGAAGACGTCAAAAGCACTGAATTTAGCACATCAACTGTCTTCGTATGAGACATTTTATACGCGCAAACGGATTGTGAATAAAACACATTTTCTCCACGTTCACACGCCTCCCAGTCCTCTGCCAAAGTACATCTGCGTACAAAAAGGCCTAAGGTTTGCCATGTGTCAGTCTTTGCTTTTGCTATTGAAATATGAGGACTTGAATTTTGAAGACGATAGCATTGTTTTTGTGACTGGCTTAACTCTACTGAAACAGCACACTTGGAATCATCAAAGTACACGTCAGCAATAATCAAGCAGTCATTTGAGCCCATTTTAAACGTTTCTTCAAATTCACAATCAGGGCTATGGTGTAAATGACACACACAATGCAAGTCCTCAGCTTTCAATATATCAGATTTTGGATTAAGAAATGGAGAAACCACCCCCATTAAATGACTCGCGCTGGCAGTATGAAACCACCACTGATATACAGACATAGGACAATTTGTGTTTACTTTGACAAAATTAGTTGCGCACGCACCTCTGTCTATTTTAAGGCCTTCTGCTGTCGATGTGATCACAACTTCCCATTTTATCATTAAATCACGGCCTAACAAGTTTACAGGACAAAGGTCAGACATCAAAAATGAATGTTTTGCTGTTGCTGGGTTACGCTCGTTTGCCCAAGTGCATTTGATCGGAACAGAAAAAGATTCCGGTACCGTTTGTCCACTCGCACTTGTGGAAAAAACACTTCTGCCACTTAATTTGATTGAGAGCTCCTTTGTCTGAATCACACTGTGGGTTGCACCAGAGTCTACTAAAAAAGTGATCGGTTTACCCTCAATTTCACAAACAATAGTTGGCATTTTTCTGTAAGCTTCATTTTCATAAGCTAAGTAGGTCCCTGTGTTGGGCCTGTCACCGCTCTCTAACTCCCTAATTCTATCCTCAATTAAGCCAAGCAGTGAATCAGTGGCAAGCGCGTCTTCATTGCAGTTAGCAGTTAGTGTGTTGTGTGTAAGAGTGTGTGCATTACTCATCTGTACAGGTGCTGTGTCAGATCCCACGTCAACCAGACATCAATCTGAAGAAAATCTCTGCTGGTCCTCCGGTCTCGCACCCCGTCCACGTCCACTCCAGCGTCCCGCATCTCGGCGTGGCTGGGGACAGTCACGATTCCAATGTCCAATTTCACCACAGTTGAAACATTTGTCCTGGTCGTCATGGACACGATCGTTCTCGAAATGTCCGTGGTCACGATTGTTCTCGAAATGTCCGTGGTCACGATTGTTCTCGAAATGTCCGTGGCCACCTCTTCTCCGTCCTCTACCTCCACGACCTCCACGACGGAATTGTCTGCCTGTCATTTTGATCAATGTGAGATTGGCCTGATGTTGTGCCGTCTCCTGCGCGCCAGTTTTTACAGCGTTCTCCTCAGTGTTCTTCATTTCAGCATGCTTTGCGTGTCTGAGGATTTCCGGGATGCGATTATCCTGCCAACCTCCCACCAAAGTCTGTTTTAGTGCGGCTTGGATCGGTTGGGGAAGGCCCTCGCAGAACGCCATCTTAAAGATCACCTCGAATGTGGTCTCAGCTGCGGCAGTGTAATTGTCTGGCTTTTGACTACCAGAGTGGGCAACGCACACATCCTCAAGACGATGATAAAAGTCCACAACTGACTCACTTGTCTTTTGAGAGCAGTCTTTAATCTTTCCCATATCAAATTTCACTGGGAACGCACGCTTGAGAGCTGTCACTATGTTGGCCACATATGTCTCCCATGCATTCGCCTCTGTCCATTCCGCCTGCAGAGCTCGCAAAGTCTCATAATTCTGTCGATGGACCGCCGGCTCTATCTTGGCGAAGCCCTCCGGTTTTAAATACAGGAGGAGAAGCTTTTTAACTTCAGCGCCCGTAGGACGCCATGCTTTGCAAAAGGCCAGAAATGCGTCTGCCATCGAATCACCCCCGCGGTGGGGAGAGGCCAGTCTTTGACAGAGTCTTTCATCTCCTGATCCATTTGACGCAGAACCAGAACGGGGGTTCCCTCGGGGCCAGGGTATTCTATCATAGGTGCTTGTAAAGTCTTTCCATCTCTCAGCGTCATGCCATTGTCATTTAAAGAGATTCTGTCCATATCGTGAGTCACACTGTGAACTGTAGCAGGAGCAGTGTGAGTGTGTCTGTGTGCTGCTCCAGACAGGAGGGGAGGGGCTGATGCAGAAGCCTCTGGGGCAGGCAAGAGGAGCACCGGAGGGAGGGCAGCTGACGCTGCTGCTTCTGCTGGTGCTGCAGGTGCGCGGCTGCTGCTGCTTGATACCGGGGGGGTGAGAGAGCGGAGTACAGCGGGGTCTAATCATCTGTGGAGTTCCTACGGTCGTATTGACGTGGGATCGGTGGTATGCTCGAAAAAAAAGCAGATGGAGAAGTATCAGTCGCAGATCCTATACATTGTTTCTGTCTACTTTCCCCTAAGCTTTGCCTCAGTCATCCACGCATTCAGCCACCGTCTGTTCTCATCCAGATAATTCAAATCTTTCACACGTACAGACCTGCCTTTTTTTAACACAGTTTCTCGAGCATCCAATTGCGATTTAATCTTTTCCAATTGGTTCAAGCTGAAGGAGCCATTTTTGGGAAAACCTAATTCAGCCACCCACATTTCAGTGCATGCCCTAAAATCATCACCATGTTTTTTACTCATAAAAGTCATGCATGGGGCGTCCCAAACTGGTGACTCTGTGCCTTTTCTTCTAAGCCACATGGCTGGAATCTGAGACTTCAAACTCAGATCTAGTATCAACTGAGGACTCGAACCCCAGACTAAGACTAAACTTAGATTTTTTTGACAGGACTCGAACCTGTTTTCACAACGAGAGGACTCGAACCCCCCGACTAAGACTAAACTTAGATTTTTTTGACAGGACTCTAACCGTGTCACAACAAGGACTTGAACCCCCGACTAAGACTTGAACTTAGATTTTTTAGACAGGACTCTAACCGTCTTCACAACGAAGGACTCTAACCTCCGACTAAGAGTAAACTTAGATTTAGACCGGACTCTAACCGTCTTCACAACGAAGGACTCTAACCTCCGACTAAGACTCGAACTTAGATTTTTTCCCAACAGCCTGGATTAGAATGAGCAGCACCGTCACCAGCTGGCAGCCAAACATGCACGCACACTGCACCCACAAGTGCCTCTCGGATTCACCACTGAAGCATAGAAAGTCAAATATTAAACACGTTACCGTTTGTTTTCGTGTGAAAATCCCGAGAGGCGACGGTTGAAACTCAGCACGTCCGGTCAGTCCGCCCGTCCAGAGATATGGGAAAGCGACGAGATTGGTTTTGAATCCCGGGCGATCAGTCCCCCGAATCCGGACCCCTGCGTTTCAACGGTCAAGCCTTCGAGACCACTTCTGACACCAAATTGTTATGGAAATTCTATTGCCTCAAATGAATGAAACCGAGAGGAAACAAACTTGTCCTTTGGTGCAGTTTTATTCACAGAAGTGATGAGTACAAAAATGACATTTTCTGCGCAGAAAAGAGTCAAACAGAAGCGGGACCTGGAGCGATGCCGCGTCTGTCTGTTCTCCCCAACAAACATGTCTTATGATCTTATACTGGAGGTGTGTCAGACAAAACAATGGACAATCGTCACAAGAGAGATGAGTCATACGCAGCTGCAGACGGGAAAGTTTGGGAGATACATTAAGCGCACTGAAAGGACCTTCGAATTTGATAAGAAGGAACACGCTGTGAGTACATTTGAGATAGGCCCATGCAGATGGTGACCAAGGCTATCGCTGAACAAGAGGCCCTTTGTGCTAATGTTTCAAACAGTGATGGGGAGCGGGTTTCAGACGCATGGGAAAGAAGACGCATGTATCGACCTAAATGATTAGAATATCTTGTGCCGGGAATCTGGCCATAACAGAAACTCTCAAAGATCTATGGGAAACTCTCAAAGATTTATGGGAAACTCGCAAAGATTTATGGGAAACTCGCAAAGATCTATGGGAAACTCGCAAAGATCTATGGGAAACTCGCAAAGATCTATGGGAAACTCGCAAAGATCTATGGGAAACTCGCAAAGATCTATGGGAAACTCTCAAAGATCTATGGGAAACTCTCAAAGATCTATGGGAAACTCGCAAAGATCTATGGGAAACTCGCAAAGATCTATGGAAAACTCGGCTGTATTTGGGCATCGTCTGGTCCTCCCGGTTCTGCGCAGTGGATGATCTCCCATGATGCTTTGCGCCAAACACGCGTGTGTGGGTCTCACACCAGGTCTTACGCACGTGCACAGAGGGGCTCGGCCGCGCTCTGACCAATCAGAGCAGTTCATCAGAGCGGGAGTTAGAGCGAGAGCCAGAGGAGCAGAGTTTGTGGCACTAAAGTGTGGATTTAAACAAAACCGAAGGATTTAAGAAGAAAAAAAGTTCAGGATGACAAGGGACACTAAAATCCCCACAAAATCCGACCTTTATGAAAGCTGTAGGTTCTCTGTCAGGTTCTCTGTCAGCTGAGGTCGAGCTGTTTTAATTTGCATTGAGTTCTATGGTGAACATTTCTGGGTAACCCACGTGAATTTAGTCTGGTTTAGTCTGGTTCAGTCTGGTTCGGTCTGCAGTACCGCGACAATCCCCTGAGCACATGAGTTATTCAGCTACAAACTAGTAATACCCTATCCAGTTATTATAATAGATCTATGGTCAAATCCCGTTCGAAACAGGGCCTTCCTGAGTGGAGTTTGCATGTTCTCCCCGTGTCTGCGTAGGTTTCTTCCAGGTGCTCCGGTTTCCCCTACCACTAAAAACATGTACAATAGTTCTGGCATGTGCCTCCTGTCCTGGCCCCGCTCCCGTCTCTGTGTGGAGCCAGAGACAAATGTCCACAATTGTAAAGCGCTTTGTGACTCAGGTCTGTGAAAGGCGCTCTATAAATAAACATTACTTACTTACTTTCATATGAGCTCTGTGTGTGTTTCAGTCCTGTGTACAGTCTGCGAGCCAATATGGTGCACGTCAGCCTCCTCCTGTCCAGGTAATGCTAACATAAGCTAATGCTAATAATGCTAATAGTTTGGATCAAAAAGGTTGTAGCTGTCCATTCTAATGTCCTCTTTACACTCCCAGAATTCATTCAAATCAATAGAATTCTGGAAAAAAATTGTTTTTTTTCATTACTATTAAAATTCATTCAGTTTTTTTTATCTTTCCCACATTTTTACTACATGCTAAAACTGGTTGTAATGAACTAAAAACAGCAAAACGAAATGACACTAAATGATAACTGCTGCAGGTAAATAGTCTGTTGCTACGGTAACTAACACTTTCTCAAAAAAACGCACCAAAAGACGGAGTAATTACACCTCCTAAACGAAAAGCCGTCGAATTGACTGCTCATGTCTAACCCTAAAAGGAGAAAAAAAGAGTTATTTAAAACAAAAGATAATTTTGCTTTGTCCCGTTGGTAAATCTTGTTCTAATGCAGTCAGAATGTTCTCAAATGAAGATAAATGTTGCCAGATTTTAGTATTTTTTTACTTATTTTTTTTTTAATCACTTTTTACACAAATTCAAGCAAAAACAGTCACTAAATTTAACAAATTTTCTCATAAAGACGTCTAGAAGTGGTGACAGGATTAATTTTAACAGGATCTATTTTAACCTCAGAATCTTCTCTCCAACTAAATCCTAGTTCATGAACACAACCTGAATTATTTCACCAGGTTAAAGGTGCAGTTAGCGATGTTGTTAGCTTAGCCGTAGCGATGTTGTTAGCTTAGCCGTAGCACCCACTGGAAACCCCTCCCCCCCCCCCCCCTCCCTCTCCACCAAACCAAACATCCAGCATTTTCTTTTCTTCGTCACAACAGGGAGAGTGGAGCAAACGTGGAATTGGCATTTTCTGTTCAGCCATTTTAGGTTTTAGAAAATAATCCGATAACTCCGGTGCACTCGCGAGAAACAGGAAGTGGGTGAAGCCGGTAAACGCATCCCATTGGTTATCGGTCCGCTCCAAAATATTTGTTATACATAGTTCCCACAGACCAATGAATGTCACATGACCTCCTCGGAGACGCCATCTTTGATGGCACGCTGCTGTGTTTGTGCATTCCATTAAACAGAAGAATGAGAATAAATGTAGATATTCAAACGCAAATTGGAAAAAAAAGGGCAACTTTTGAGCAAATAATTGTATATTAATACAATGGCACCACAGTTTAACGTGCTACGGACATGTTTTACATATTTGATCAAATTATGCAGCAAAAATTAACAAGCAATGCAAACATTTCTCAAAAACTTTAGATTTAATACCAGTTGGAGCTCCATTTAATTATTTTAATTATATTAACAATTAATTTAATTAATGCTAATGCCACACGGACACTCTGGATTGCTGTTATTGTTTATTTCCGCGTTTTTGACCGTATGTTTTGGTGAATGGTGGGCAACTGATTTATTTTATGACACAGATCTTTTTACAGAAGCAATGCTGTTTGTGAACATTGTTTTAGCCCACCATAGAACTATTATTATCTATTTAATACATTTACGTTGCCCTCGAGAGCCTCGGACGCGACACCGATCCTCCTCATAATAAAGTAATCTAACGCTAAATAATGAAACTCTCAAGTTACCAGATATCAGCATACACAAGTTAGTACTGAGTAAATTACGTCTGTCAACACATTATAAGATACGATACGCACCTGACACAAAGTGCTCCGAGCATATTCTTGCGTGTTTTGAGGGAGTTTCTTGCCTGTTTATCTTCGCAAGCCATAACCTCCGTGGTTGTTCTGACAAAAGTTTAGTCTTCTCACATTCATGAAGTCTAATGATGGGTATACTGTAAAATCCAAGTTTAACGGAACCTCCGGCACGATTTGAACATCCATTGACCCAGCAGGAGATGACCATTTTCAACTTTATCACGACATTAACACGTTTCAGCTTCTTTTTCTATTGTTTTGCCCACAGCATGCCAACACAAATGTCGCCGGGTCGGCAAATCCCCGTATGTAGTGACGTCATGTGGGAACTATGTATTGATTTTTGTAGACTATAAGCATCTGGTCAATTCCATTACTATTTGAAAACACATGATAACTTGACAATTTTTTTTAGGGTTTAGCGACGTTCCCCCACAATATTTAAAAAAAAAAATCCGTCTGGAAAAAAACTGCATCTTTAAATACATACAGTAATAAAATAAATCCTGTTGAAACCTCGGTCTTTGTCCTTTTTTCAGAGCTGAGCAGAGCAGGATACAGAAGGGTTTGGTGAGTGAGAGAGCAGCTAATTATGGATCGTTATTGTGGTAATCTCTGGTTCCTGTTCGTCCAGGAGCTGTATGAGAAGAGCCTGCTGCGAGTGGAGGACCTCAGCCTCGGCGTGGACCTGCTGGAGCTCAGGAGCTTCCTCTCCGTGCCCCAGGTCAGAACACAACCACCGCCAAACTGTTTCTATTTACACATTTAGAGACTTAGAATAATGTCTGCTCGTGTTTCAGAACTTAGTCAAAGTCATGACCATCTGCCCACATCAGAATCTGGTGAGTTCTATGCATTATCTGTGCTTATTTAGCCTCTGTATTAGCCTCTGTATTAGCCTCTGTGTTAGCCTCTGTATTAGCCTCTGTATTAGCCTCTGTATTAGCCTCTGTATTAGCCTCTGTATTAGCCTCTGTATTAGCCTCTGTATTAGCCTCTGTATTAGCCTCTGTATTAGCCTCTGTATTAGCCTCTGTGTTAGCCTCTGTATTAGCCTCTGTTTTAGCCTCTGTATTAGCCTCTGTGTTAGCCTCTGTGTTAGCCTCTGTATTAGCCTCTGTATTAGCCTCTGTATTAGCCTCTGTGTTAGCCTCTGTATTAGCCTCTGTATTAGCCTCTGTATTAGCCTCTGTATTAGCCTCTGTATTAGCCTCTGTATTAGCCTCTGTATTAGCCTCTGTGTTAGCCTCTGTGTTAGCCTCTGTGTTAGCCTCTGTGTTAGCCTCTGTATTAGCCTCTGTATTAGCCTCTGTATTAGCCTCTGTATTAGCCTCTGTGTTAGCCTCTGTATTAGCCTCTGTATTAGCCTCTGTATTAGCCTCTGTATTAGCCTCTGTATTAGCCTCTGTGTTAGCCTCTGTGTTAGCCTCTGTGTTAGCCTCTGTATTAGCCTCTGTATTAGCCTCTGTGTTAGCCTCTGTGTTAGCCTCTGTGTTAGCCTCTGTGTTAGCCTCTGTATTAGCCTCTGTATTAGCCTCTGTATTAGCCTCTGTGTTAGCCTCTGTATTAGCCTCTGTATTAGCCTCTGTATTAGCCTCTGTGTTAGCCTCTGTGTTAGCCTCTGTGTTAGCCTCTGTGTTAGCCTCTGTGTTAGCCTCTGTGTTAGCCTCTGTATTAGCCTCTGTGTTAGCCTCTGTGTTAGCCTCTGTGTTAGCCTCTGTGTTAGCCTCTGTATTAGCCTCTGTATTAGCCTCTGTATTAGCCTCTGTATTAGCCTCTGTATTAGCCTCTGTATTAGCCTCTGTATTAGCCTCTGTATTAGCCTCTGTGTTAGCCTCTGTGTTAGCCTCTGTATTAGCCTCTGTATTAGCCTCTGTGTTAGCCTCTGTGTTAGCCTCTGTGTTAGCCTCTGTGTTAGCCTCTGTATTAGCCTCTGTGTTAGCCTCTGTATTAGCCTCTGTATTAGCCTCTGTGTTAGCCTCTGTATTAGCCTCTGTATTAGCCTCTGTATTAGCCTCTGTGTTAGCCTCTGTGTTAGCCTCTGTGTTAGCCTCTGTATTAGCCTCTGTGTTAGCCTCTGTATTAGCCTCTGTGTTAGCCTCTGTGTTAGCCTCTGTATTAGCCTCTGTATTAGCCTCTGTGTTAGCCTCTGTATTAGCCTCTGTATTAGCCTCTGTGTTAGCCTCTGTATTAGCCTCTGTATTAGCCTCTGTGTTAGCCTCTGTGTTAGCCTCTGTATTAGCCTCTGTATTAGCCTCTGTATTAGCCTCTGTATTAGCCTCTGTATTAGCCTCTGTATTAGCCTCTGTGTTAGCCTCTGTATTAGCCTCTGTATTAGCCTCTGTGTTAGCCTCTGTGTTAGCCTCTGTATTAGCCTCTGTATTAGCCTCTGTATTAGCCTCTGTGTTAGCCTCTGTGTTAGCCTCTGTGTTAGCCTCTGTATTAGCCTCTGTATTAGCCTCTGTGTTAGCCTCTGTATTAGCCTCTGTATTAGCCTCTGTGTTAGCCTCTGTATTAGCCTCTGTATTAGCCTCTGTATTAGCCTCTGTATTAGCCTCTGTATTAGCCTCTGTATTAGCCTCTGTATTAGCCTCTGTGTTAGCCTCTGTATTAGCCTCTGTGTTAGCCTCTGTGTTAGCCTCTGTGTTAGCCTCTGTATTAGCCTCTGTATTAGCCTCTGTATTAGCCTCTGTGTTAGCCTCTGTGTTAGCCTCTGTGTTAGCCTCTGTATTAGCCTCTGTGTTAGCCTCTGTATTAGCCTCTGTATTAGCCTCTGTGTTAGCCTCTGTGTTAGCCTCTGTGTTAGCCTCTGTATTAGCCTCTGTATTAGCCTCTGTATTAGCCTCTGTGTTAGCCTCTGTGTTAGCCTCTGTGTTAGCCTCTGTATTAGCCTCTGTATTAGCCTCTGTATTAGCCTCTGTGTTAGCCTCTGTATTAGCCTCTGTGTTAGCCTCTGTATTAGCCTCTGTGTTAGCCTCTGTATTAGCCTCTGTGTTAGCCTCTGTGTTAGCCTCTGTGTTAGCCTCTGTGTTAGCCTCTGTGTTAGCCTCTGTGTTAGCCTCTGTATTAGCCTCTGTATTAGCCTCTGTGTTAGCCTCTGTATTAGCCTCTGTATTAGCCTCTGTATTAGCCTCTGTATTAGCCTCTGTATTAGCCTCTGTGTTAGCCTCTGTGTTAGCCTCTGTGTTAGCCTCTGTATTAGCCTCTGTGTTAGCCTCTGTGTTAGCCTCTGTGTTAGCCTCTGTGTTAGCCTCTGTGTTAGCCTCTGTATTAGCCTCTGTATTAGCCTCTGTATTAGCCTCTGTATTAGCCTCTGTATTAGCCTCTGTATTAGCCTCTGTATTAGCCTCTGTGTTAGCCTCTGTGTTAGCCTCTGTATTAGCCTCTGTATTAGCCTCTGTATTAGCCTCTGTATTAGCCTCTGTGTTAGCCTCTGTGTTAGCCTCTGTGTTAGCCTCTGTGTTAGCCTCTGTGTTAGCCTCTGTGTTAGCCTCTGTGTTAGCCTCTGTGTTAGCCTCTGTATTAGCCTCTGTGTTAGCCTCTGTATTAGCCTCTGTGTTAGCCTCTGTGTTAGCCTCTGTATTAGCCTCTGTATTAGCCTCTGTATTAGCCTCTGTGTTAGCCTCTGTGTTAGCCTCTGTGTTAGCCTCTGTGTTAGCCTCTGTGTTAGCCTCTGTGTTAGCCTCTGTATTAGCCTCTGTGTTAGCCTCTGTATTAGCCTCTGTGTTAGCCTCTGTGTTAGCCTCTGTATTAGCCTCTGTATTAGCCTCTGTGTTAGCCTTTGTGTTAGCCTCTGTGTTAGCCTCTGTGTTAGCCTCTGTGTTAGCCTCTGTGTTTAGCCTCTGTGTTAGCCTCTGTATTAGCCTCTGTATTAGCCTCTGTATTAGCCTCTGTATTAGCCTCTGTATTAGCCTCTGTATTAGCCTCTGTATTAGCCTCTGTATTAGCCTCTGTATTAGCCTCTGTGTTAGCCTCTGTGTTAGCCTCTGTATTAGCCTCTGTATTAGCCTCTGTATTAGCCTCTGTATTAGCCTCTGTATTAGCCTCTGTATTAGCCTCTGTGTTAGCCTCTGTATTAGCCTCTGTATTAGCCTCTGTGTTAGCCTCTGTGTTAGCCTCTGTGTTAGCCTCTGTATTAGCCTCTGTATTAGCCTCTGTATTAGCCTCTGTATTAGCCTCTGTATTAGCCTCTGTATTAGCCTCTGTATTAGCCTCTGTATTAGCCTCTGTATTAGCCTCTGTGTTAGCCTCTGTGTTAGCCTCTGTATTAGCCTCTGTATTAGCCTCTGTATTAGCCTCTGTATTAGCCTCTGTATTAGCCTCTGTGTTAGCCTCTGTGTTAGCCTCTGTGTTAGCCTCTGTGTTAGCCTCTGTGTTAGCCTCTGTATTAGCCTCTGTGTTAGCCTCTGTGTTAGCCTCTGTGTTAGCCTCTGTGTTAGCCTCTGTGTTAGCCTCTGTGTTAGCCTCTGTATTAGCCTCTGTGTTAGCCTCTGTGTTAGCCTCTGTGTTAGCCTCTGTATTAGCCTCTGTATTAGCCTCTGTGTTAGCCTCTGTGTTAGCCTCTGTGTTAGCCTCTGTGTTAGCCTCTGTATTAGCCTCTGTGTTAGCCTCTGTATTAGCCTCTGTATTAGCCTCTGTGTTAGCCTCTGTATTAGCCTCTGTATTAGCCTCTGTATTAGCCTTGTGTTAGCCTCTGTATTAGCCTCTGTGTTAGCCTCTGTGTTAGCCTCTGTATTAGCCTCTGTATTAGCCTCTGTATTAGCCTCTGTATTAGCCTCTGTATTAGCCTCTGTATTAGCCTCTGTATTAGCCTCTGTATTAGCCTCTGTATTAGCCTCTGTGTTAGCCTCTGTGTTAGCCTCTGTGTTAGCCTCTGTGTTAGCCTCTGTGTTAGCCTCTGTGTTAGCCTCTGTGTTAGCCTCTGTGTTAGCCTCTGTGTTAGCCTCTGTATTAGCCTCTGTGTTAGCCTCTGTGTTAGCCTCTGTGTTAGCCTCTGTGTTAGCCTCTGTGTTAGCCTCTGTATTAGCCTCTGTATTAGCCTCTGTGTTAGCCTCTGTGTATTAGCCTCTGTGTTAGCCTCTGTATTAGCCTCTGTGTTAGCCTCTGTGTTAGCCTCTGTGTTAGCCTCTGTGTTAGCCTCTGTGTTAGCCTCTGTGTTAGCCTCTGTATTAGCCTCTGTATTAGCCTCTGTGTTAGCCTCTGTATTAGCCTCTGTGTTAGCTCTGTTTAGCCTCTGTGTTAGCCTCTGTGTTAGCCTCTGTGTTAGCCTCTGTGTTAGCCTCTGTGTTAGCCTCTGTGTTAGCCTCTGTGTTAGCCTCTGTATTAGCCTCTGTATTAGCCTCTGTGTTAGCCTCTGTGTATTAGCCTCTGTGTTAGCCTCTGTGTTAGCCTCTGTATTAGCCTCTGTGTTAGCCTCTGTATTAGCCTCTGTATTAGCCTCTGTATTAGCCTCTGTATTAGCCTCTGTATTAGCCTCTGTGTTAGCCTCTGTGTTAGCCTCTGTATTAGCCTCTGTGTTAGCCTCTGTGTTAGCCTCTGTGTTAGCCTCTGTTTAGCCTCTGTATTAGCCTCTGTATTAGCCTCTGTATTAGCCTCTGTATTAGCCTCTGTGTTAGCCTCTGTGTTAGCCTCTGTGTTAGCCTCTGTGTTAGCCTCTGTGTTAGCCTCTGTGTTAGCCTCTGTATTAGCCTCTGTGTTAGCCTCTGTATTAGCCTCTGTATTAGCCTCTGTGTTAGCCTCTGTATTAGCCTCTGTTTAGCCTCTGTATTAGCCTCTGTATTAGCCTCTGTATTAGCCTCTGTGTTAGCCTCTGTATTAGCCTCTGTATTAGCCTCTGTGTTAGCCTCTGTGTTAGCCTCTGTGTTAGCCTCTGTATTAGCCTCTGTATTAGCCTCTGTATTAGCCTCTGTATTAGCCTCTGTATTAGCCTCTGTATTAGCCTCTGTATTAGCCTCTGTATTAGCCTCTGTGTTAGCCTCTGTTTAGCTCTGTTAGCCTCTGTATTAGCCTCTGTGTTAGCCTCTGTATTAGCCTCTGTATTAGCCTCTGTATTAGCCTCTGTATTAGCCTCTGTGTTAGCCTCTGTATTAGCCTCTGTGTTAGCCTCTGTGTTAGCCTCTGTATTAGCCTCTGTATTAGCCTCTGTGTTAGCCTCTGTATTAGCCTCTGTATTAGCCTCTGTATTAGCCTCTGTATTAGCCTCTGTGTTAGCCTCTGTATTAGCCTCTGTATTAGCCTCTGTATTAGCCTCTGTTAGCCTCTGTGTTAGCCTCTGTATTAGCCTCTGTGTTAGCCTCTGTATTAGCCTCTGTATTAGCCTCTGTATTAGCCTCTGTGTTAGCCTCTGTGTTAGCCTCTGTGTTAGCCTCTGTGTTAGCCTCTGTATTAGCCTCTGTGTTAGCCTCTGTATTAGCCTCTGTGTTAGCCTCTGTGTTAGCCTCTGTGTTAGCCTCTGTGTTAGCCTCTGTATTAGCCTCTGTGTTAGCCTCTGTATTAGCCTCTGTATTAGCCTCTGTATTAGCCTCTGTGTTAGCCTCTGTGTTAGCCTCTGTGTTAGCCTCTGTGTTAGCCTCTGTATTAGCCTCTGTGTTAGCCTCTGTATTAGCCTCTGTATTAGCCTCTGTGTTAGCCTCTGTATTAGCCTCTGTGTTAGCCTCTGTGTTAGCCTCTGTATTAGCCTCTGTATTAGCCTCTGTGTTAGCCTCTGTATTAGCCTCTGTATTAGCCTCTGTATTAGCCTCTGTGTTAGCCTCTGTGTTAGCCTCTGTGTTAGCCTCTGTATTAGCCTCTGTATTAGCCTCTGTGTTAGCCTCTGTGTTAGCCTCTGTGTTAGCCTCTGTATTAGCCTCTGTATTAGCCTCTGTATTAGCCTCTGTATTAGCCTCTGTGTTAGCCTCTGTATTAGCCTCTGTATTAGCCTCTGTATTAGCCTCTGTGTTAGCCTCTGTATTAGCCTCTGTGTTAGCCTCTGTGTTAGCCTCTGTGTTAGCCTCTGTGTTAGCCTCTGTGTTAGCCTCTGTGTTAGCCTCTGTATTAGCCTCTGTATTAGCCTCTGTGTTAGCCTCTGTGTTAGCCTCTGTGTTAGCCTCTGTGTTAGCCTCTGTGTTAGCCTCTGTATTAGCCTCTGTATTAGCCTCTGTATTAGCCTCTGTATTAGCCTCTGTGTTAGCCTCTGTGTTAGCCTCTGTGTTAGCCTCTGTGTTAGCCTCTGTGTTAGCCTCTGTGTTAGCCTCTGTATTAGCCTCTGTATTAGCCTCTGTATTAGCCTCTGTGTTAGCCTCTGTGTTAGCCTCTGTGTTAGCCTCTGTGTTAGCCTCTGTGTTAGCCTCTGTGTTAGCCTCTGTGTTAGCCTCTGTATTAGCCTCTGTATTAGCCTCTGTATTAGCCTCTGTATTAGCCTCTGTATTAGCCTCTGTATTAGCCTCTGTGTTAGCCTCTGTTAGCCTCTGTATTAGCCTCTGTGTTAGCCTCTGTATTAGCCTCTGTATTAGCCTCTGTATTAGCCTCTGTATTAGCCTCTGTGTTAGCCTCTGTGTTAGCCTCTGTGTTAGCCTCTGTGTTAGCCTCTGTGTTAGCCTCTGTATTAGCCTCTGTATTAGCCTCTGTGTTAGCCTCTGTATTAGCCTCTGTGTTAGCCTCTGTATTAGCCTCTGTATTAGCCTCTGTATTAGCCTCTGTGTTAGCCTCTGTATTAGCCTCTGTATTAGCCTCTGTATTAGCCTCTGTGTTAGCCTCTGTGTTAGCCTCTGTGTTAGCCTCTGTATTAGCCTCTGTATTAGCCTCTGTGTTAGCCTCTGTGTTAGCCTCTGTGTTAGCCTCTGTATTAGCCTCTGTATTAGCCTCTGTATTAGCCTCTGTATTAGCCTCTGTGTTAGCCTCTGTATTAGCCTCTGTATTAGCCTCTGTATTAGCCTCTGTATTAGCCTCTGTATTAGCCTCTGTGTTAGCCTCTGTGTTAGCCTCTGTGTTAGCCTCTGTGTTAGCCTCTGTGTTAGCCTCTGTGTTAGCCTCTGTATTAGCCTCTGTATTAGCCTCTGTGTTAGCCTCTGTGTTAGCCTCTGTGTTAGCCTCTGTGTTAGCCTCTGTATTAGCCTCTGTATTAGCCTCTGTATTAGCCTCTGTATTAGCCTCTGTATTAGCCTCTGTATTAGCCTCTGTGTTAGCCTCTGTATTAGCCTCTGTATTAGCCTCTGTGTTAGCCTCTGTGTTAGCCTCTGTATTAGCCTCTGTATTAGCCTCTGTGTTAGCCTCTGTGTTAGCCTCTGTGTTAGCCTCTGTGTTAGCCTCTGTGTTAGCCTCTGTGTTAGCCTCTGTGTTAGCCTCTGTGTTAGCCTCTGTATTAGCCTCTGTATTAGCCTCTGTATTAGCCTCTGTGTTAGCCTCTGTGTTAGCCTCTGTGTTAGCCTCTGTGTTAGCCTCTGTGTTAGCCTCTGTATTAGCCTCTGTATTAGCCTCTGTATTAGCCGTCTGGATTTGCTCCATTGAGCTCTGTTAACAGGTGGGAGGGGTTAACTCCTTTTGCAGATTGAAACGATTGGATCTAAGTTTACCGTGACGTATGTAATGCACCGGAGTGACTGAGGCATTTAGCCTTTAGCCTAGCTTTAGCATTTAGCTTAGCTTTAGCCTAGCTTTAGCCATCTCCTTTGCCGCTAACGGAGCCCGTGGGGAGTAGAGCCACAACATCTTTGTATGAATGACATTTACTAAACATTCCTCTTGCTCCGGCTTCAGTTTCTTGATATTTGGATTGAACCAGAACAGATTATTTTACCATCGCATTCTCCGACAAACTACAACCAGTAACTTCAGCACAAACTCTTGACGTCACCGACACCGACCTACAACACCCGCCTCCCCCGCTCTCTGATTGGTCGGAGGGGATTCAACCGAGGAAACTGCAGCCACTAGGATCAGACCCAGACGTACATGTAGGAAATGATCATGGACCAGAGTTTACACATGGTAAGACCAGATGTACATGTAGGAAATGATCATGGACCAGAGTTTACACATGGTAAGACCAGACGTACATGTAGGAGATGATCATGGACCAGCGTTTACACATGGTAAGACCAGATGTACATGTAGGAAATGACCATGGACCAGCGTTTACACATGGTAAGACCAGATGTACATGTAGGAAATGACCATGGACCAGCGTTTACACATGGTAAGACCAGGCTACATCTATAAACCTCTATATTTTGTCATTTCATGTGTCAGAATATAGAATCATTCCTTAAAGCTAATTTACCATCTAAATAATCATTAATTACAGGCCTAAACAAGTTCAAAAATCTTGTACATCAAAAAGTATTATTGGAGCTCTACCAGATGGAAAAGAAACAACACATGGTTAGAATGCGATTTTTATTTATTTGATTTTATTTAAGATAAGATAAGATAAACCTTTTAGTCTCACCGTGGAGAAATGTCAGTGTCATTGTTGCACATTACAGCAGAGAAAGGAAATAAGACTCAGACGCACACATCAAAGTCTATTATTTAAGATAATAGACAATAAATTTAAGATAAAATAAAATAAAATAAGATAAACTCTGGGCTATAATTGCACTTGGTTCGGAGTATTTAGTATATTTTTTACTTCTACTCGTGATGCGTTGGTAGTTACTTTTACTTTCTGCAGCTGCGACTGGAACTATATCATTTGTTTTTGTGATTTATGTTTTTACTTTTCTTGCTCTGGCTTTGTTGTTTAAAAAAATCCTCATAAAATATTAGCTTAAGTTATATTGTCATTAACTGTATTGATGAAGATGATGTTTGTTGCAGAGAACTAAAGGTCTGAAGGTTTTCCAGCTCAGTATGGACAAGTTCAACACCGAGGCCAAATACAAGTTCTTCCAGTAAGTCTCTGGTTGTTACTGTTTCTATAATGACACTTTGGTCACAATGGGATTTGAACCATATTCTCAGGTTAATGCTGAAGACCAGTCATCACTCCGGGGTCCAAGGATACATCATCAAGAACATCAGGACCCAGGTCGACTCGGCGCTCAAGGTTTTCCCACTTTGTACTTTTGTAGTGATTTTTTACTGTCAGTGTCGTGTGAACTTGAGGTCAACCCCGACATGAACAAAACCAATGTTTTGGAGCCAAATGCATCTGATACAGGATATATGTATCTTATATATATATATTATATGTATGTATCTTATATTATTATTATATGTATGTATCTTATATTATTATTATATGTATGTATCAAGAGAAGGAGCATTTAGGCCCTGTCCACACGAAGTCAAGCTCAGGCCTAAACGCAAAAATACTTTATCAATCCAGTGTATCGTCCATACGAGGCCGGCGTTTTGGGGGGGTGTAAACCAACATTTTTGAAACTAGGTCCCAGAGTGGAAAGATTTCAAAACTCCGTATATGCCGCTCCGTGGTTACTGCCTCTCCGCAATGCATCTGAGACGCTTGCGTCATCGCCCCGCCTCTTGTTAAAGCACGCATGCGCCGCACTCAGAAAATAATGACAACAACAATGTAGCTTGTTGGTTTTGTAATCCAGTGTGACCCGAAGCAACAGTTCAACCTCATCGTCCGTCCATACTAATGTAGTACCAGCTCGCCCACTCGCCATGTTGTCTGTTTACAAAATTCTGCGCATGCCCAGTTCCCGTCACGGAAGTTTGGGCTTGATCCCGTCATTGCGTCACAGCGCCACCAACAGGTCTGGCATAGTTTCACAGCGTTTTCAGGCGTATTGACTACATTCATATGGACGCACACATTTACTGAGCTAACTCCGTGTTTACAGAAAAAGTTTCTGAAATTATAAGCGTTTTGTCTTCGTGTGGATATAGCCTTAGACTCTATACGTTTTCAGATGGTCTTAAAACATATTCCAATAATTCCCTGTGTGTGTCTGTGTGTTTGTGCCTGTGTGTGTGTGTGTGTGTGTGTGTGTGTGTGTGTGTGTGTGTGTGTGTGTGTGTTTGTGTCTCTGTGTGTGTGTGTTTGTCTGTGTGTTTGCGTGTGTGTGTGTCTGTGTTTGTGTGTCTGTGTGTTGTGTGTGTGTGTGTGTGTGTGTTTGTGTCTCTATGTATGTGCCTCTGTGTGTGTGTGTTTGTGTCTCTGTGTGTGTGTGTGTGTCTGTGTTTGTGTCTCTGTGTGTGTGTGTCTGTGTGTGTTTGTGTGTGTGTGTGTGTCTGTGTTTGTGTCTCTGTGTGTGTGTGTGTGTGTTTGTGTGTGTGTGTGTGTGTGTGTGTGTGTGTGTGTGTGTGTGTGTGTGTGTGTGTCTGTGTGTGTTTGTGTGTGTGTGTGTGTGTGTGTGTGTGTGTCTGTGTCTGTGTGTGTGTGTGTCTGTGTCTGTGTGTCTGTGTTTGTGTCTCTGTGTGTGTGTGTGTGTGTGTCTGTGTGTGTGTGTGTCTGTGTGTGTTTGTGTGTGTGTCTGTGTGTGTGTGTGTGTCTGTGTTGTGTGTCTCTGTGTGTGTGTGTGTGTCTGTGTTTGTGTCTCTGTGTGTGTGTGTGTGTCTGTGTTTGTGTCTCTGTGTGTGTGTGTGTGTGTGTGTGTCTGTGTGTGTCTGTGTGTGTGTGTGTGTGTGTGTGTGTGTGTGTGTGTGTTTGTGTGTGTGTGTGTGTGTGTGTCTGTGTCTGTGTCTGTGTGTGTGTGTGTGTGTGTGTCTGTGTCTGTGTCTGTGTGTGTGTGTCTGTGTCTGTGTCTGTGTCTGTGTGTCTGTGTGTCTGTGTGTGTGCCTTTGTCTTTGTGTTTGTGTCTCTATATATGTGCCTCTCTGTTTGTGTGTGTCTGTGTGTGTGTTTGTGTGTGTGTGTTGTTACAGTCGGGGGACAGTGACCCCTGGTTCCTGGGTGTGTATCTGCTGCCGCTGCTGCGCTGTGTCCTGAGGCTGCCTGAGGGACCAGAGACAGACCTGCTGCAGAACATGGACCGGTGAGAAGCTCATGGTCACTGCACCAGAATGTAATTCCACCTCCTGCCACTGGATGGAGGTGTTTTACTACTCAAGATCATATCCATTACTTTTCCGTCTGAAGATTTTTACACATAAAATGTTATTTGTAGGGCTGTCAAACGATTAATTTTTTTAATCGAGTTAATTACAGCTTAAAAATTAATCGTAATTAATCGCATTTCAAACTATTGGCAAAATTATGCCATAATTTTCTGTAAATTGTTGTTTGAATGGAAAGATAAATGACAGCTTAGTGAACAACTGTATTTGTTTGTTATAACAATAAATCCATATAAAATGGAATTAACATTATTCACATTCTGTCTTTCTGTTTAGACTCAGACCAAAACCATTGTTTGTTACAGATGAGGGACATTTCAAAATAGTCTGAAGCAGAATGTCCTTAAATCTGTTTTATTTGCTCACACCATTACTTTTTTTGGAACAACTAACATGAACTGATGGTCGAAAGGAAAATTAGGTACCTCAGCTTTAATTTAGCGAGTGCGCTTCGGGAGAAGACACGGAGGAGACTGAGGCTCCGCAGTCCAGCTTCAGCGCTGTACATATTGTGTGCATCGGTTACGCAAAGACACGTACGCACACTAGAGAATAGTTCTGTAATAGTTCTGTGAGTGGTCTTGGATATGATCCCATTACGCAGCGCCGTTCGCCGTGATCACAGCCGCTGGAAGTGGGACCTGTCCAGAGCGCTGTGGCCGCAGCTCATCATGCAGAGTTCATACAGGAAAGTACAAGTGCCCCGCGGTCACGCGTGTATTCTTTCAAAACTTGAATTCCCAGAGGCTCTACCTGCTCTGTCCCCATCTTACACACGCATGTGTCCACGGCATTCTGAGTGTTATTATGGGACGCATGGGCATGCGTCAAATGCGTTAATTATTTTAACGCGATTAATGAAAAAAATTAATTAACGTGCGTTAACGCGATAATTTTGACAGCCCTAGTTATTTGCTAAAATATTTTTTCTCAATAACTTTCCTAATGAGTTATAAAAATGCTTATTACTACATACAAGTTGTATTATAATCCGTAATTTAATTGAAAACTTGATCTCATTGATTCAGCTGTGTATGAATTCAGGCGTATAAAGTGCTGAGTAGAGACTTTGGCGTGGCGCCCGCTCTCTTCCAATCACAGACAAGGCTCTAGCCTCTACAGCGCTGCTAAACACAGTAGCATGTTAGCATAAGTGGCTATAACTCCTCTGCCTGTAACTGCAGACACAGCAAAACAGCCCAAACCACACAACAGTGAGGAAGAGAAGAGGGAACTAAAGCAAGAAAATGATCAAAGAAGAAATCAAGCCCTGAACAGAGCTAGCTTACATCGTATCCTCTGGAGAGACTTGTCTATGAGAGAGACTCGGACTATGCTCGGACTATCAGTGCTCGGACCATCTGTGCTCGGACTATCTATTTCATCAGTGATTGTTGTACAGATTAAGTTGCGCTAATGCTAATGTTAGCATCAGATCGCAAATACAACTAGAAGGCTCCGCTTAGTGGAAATGAGAAGCCTCTGAGCGAGTTGAGGGGCGGTGCTAGACATTCAAACCTTGTAGAAACGGGTATAGCTCCTTTAATGCAGGATATCTGTTCTATTAAATATGAACTCTTTTTTTTTTTCCTTCTTTTTAAAGAATAATGGAGTCTCTGAATCTGCTGCGGTACCTGGTCATCAGAGACAAAGTCACAGAGAATCAGGTGAGCACTCTCCAGACACAAGCAGGTCTCTCCGACGGCAACTGACGGTAATTGGACTTTGGGTGGAATTATTTTTAAAAGGATCTATTTTTGATTTGTATTTTTTTTAAACATGCAACAAGATCTAAAAACAAACAAAAACACGTACACTCTTTGACCTAAAGTTAGCTAGTTGTTACATAATGAAACTCAATCATTTGTTATTAGGTTAATAACATCTAAATAAGTGCAGTAATCACAGTTTTCTCCTGGTTCCTGCAGACGGGGATCTGGGCAGAAATGTACAAGATCGAAGACAGGTTTCTGAAGCCGCTGAGGGTCGGCATCAACATGTCCCGGGCTCACTACGAACGAGAACTGCTCCTGACCCGCGAGGGCCGCAAGAGCAAAGCCAAAGGTACAGGACTTCTGCAAGTTTGTGTATTCTGCAAGCTTACATTCATGGAAATAAAGTGCCGTATTCTCCACAGAGCCAAGTGTTTCTGTGTCGGTTGGAGATGAGAAACTTCCCCAAATGACGACGGACACAGAATTACAGGCGAGTTATTACCACCAAACGGAAAGCTTGGATAAAAATGCTTTAAACATAGGATTGATTAAAGGGGACATAACCTGCTTAACAAAACAAGATGGAAACAACACCAGGGATTCAATTCATAAATAATCACAGTTCATTTAAAAATAGTGAAGATAAAATCCCTCAGTCGTCTGCAGCTAAACGCAACTGTTTGAAAAACCTGGAATTTAAGGAAGATACCAGCAGGAGGCCAGTCCCTGTGCTCCTTTAGAGTCCCAGCAGGAGGCCAGTCCCTGTGCTCCTCCTGGTTCATATGGCGTGTGTTATATAGAGACTATGTGTGTCATATAGAGACCATGTGTGCCATATAGAGATTATGTGTGCCATATAGAGACGTGTGCCATATAGAGACCATGTGTGCCATATAGAGACGTGTGTCATATAGAGACCATGTGTGTCATATAGAGACCATGTGTGCCATATAGAGACGTGTGTCATATAGAGACCATGTGTGCCATATAGAGACCATGTGTGCCATATAGAGACGTGTGTCATATAGAGACCATGTGTGTCATATAGAGTGTGTGTCATATAGAGACCATGTGTGTCATATAGAGACCATGTGTGTCATATAGAGACCATGTGTGCCATATAGAGACCATGTGTGCCATATAGAGACCATGTGTGTCATATAGAGTGTGTGTCATATAGAGACCATGTGTGTCATATAGACGTGTGCCATATAGAGACCATGTGTGTCATATAGAGACCATGTGTGTCATATAGAGACCATGTGTGTCATATAGACATGTGCCATATAGAGACCATGTGTGTCATATAGAGACCATGTGTGTCATATAGAGACCATGTGTGTCATATAGAGACCATGTGTGTCATATAGAGACCATGTGTGTCATATAGAGACCATGTGTGCCATATAGAGACCATGTGTGCCATATAGAGACGTGTGTCATATAGAGACCATGTGTGTCATATAGAGACGTGTGTCATATAGAGACCATGTGTGTCATATAGAGACCATGTGTGTCATATAGAGACCATGTGTGTCATATAGAGACCATGTGTGTCATATAGAGACCATGTGTGTCATATAGAGACCATGTGTGCCATATAGAGACCATGTGTGCTAGGGGTGCAACGGTTTGAAAAAATCAATCACGGTTCGGTTCATTTTTCGGTTCATTTTTCTAAAAAAAAGTGGTGTCTTTTTAATAAACACAGCTCATGTGGACTCTGCACCTGCTCTGACTGCCCCCACCTGCCCTAGAAATGAATTAAGAGGAAGGAAATGGATGGATGGATGGAAGGCATATTCCATCCATCCAATTATGTCTATTTAACATAATTAATGAAAAACAACACAAAGTGCAACATAAGAAGGCACTTTATGAGGATATTTACCCTCATATATTACACCACCTTCCTGATTCTCCCAAGGAGGGGGTCCATTCTGGGCCCAGCCTCATTCACTGCATTTATTTAATTTTTGGCATTATCAGTTGTGACTGGGATATTAGTACTGGGCCTTTGTCTTCCATTCCTCCGCTGTTGTGTCAGTACCTGCGCTGTGTGACTGTGTGACTGTCGTAGAGGGGCGTGTCTTCAGCGCCAGACTTTTCATCTCCCAGTCTGCGGTGATGAACTGAGCGGTTCCGCTCATGGATCTATTATAGGTTCCGCGGGACGTCCAAGCGTCAGTCGTGAGCGCAGCTGTGATGCGCGGGAGAGTTGACTTTAGCCCGGTCTGACTGTGCGTAAAGGAGCTGCTTAAATGCCGCGACAATAGGTGGTCGTTGAGACGCTTTTTTCACTCATGTCCTTCTTGTGCCACAGTGCTTACACATCGTGACAGTTTTGTCGAATATTAATTATCAGTGTAGTTACAGTGAAGCCAAAATGCTCTCATACTGGGGATTTAAATGACGCAGGGCTTTCAAGCATCTCCGTTCCTCCGCTCGCAATGACCGCGCTGTATGTGTGGACTGAACAACGTGCGCACAACTTTTTTTTCATAAATCAAACCGCGGATCACGTCTGTACCGAACCGAAGACGTTGAACCGAACGGATCACGGATCAGTGATGAACCGTTGCACCTCTAATGTGTGCCATATAGAGACCATGTGTGTCATATAGAGTGTGTGTCATATAGAGACCATGTGTGTCATATAGAGACCATGTGTGTCATATAGAGACCATGTGTGCCATATAGAGACATGTGCCATATAGAGACCATGTGTGTCATATAGAGACCATGTGTGTCATATAGAGACCATGTGTGTCATATAGAGACCATGTGTGTCATATAGAGACCATGTGTGCCATATAGAGACCATGTGTGCCATATAGAGACGTGTGCCATATAGAGACCATGTGTGTCATATAGAGACCATGTGTGTCATATAGAGACCATGTGTGTCATATAGAGACCATGTGTGTCATATAGAGACCATGTGTGTCATATAGAGACCATGTGTGCCATATAGAGACCATGTGTGCCATATAGAGACCATGTGTGTCATATAGAGACCATGTGTGCCATATAGAGACCATGTGTGCCATATAGAGACCATGTGTGTCATATAGAGACCATGTGTGTCATATAGAGTGTGTGTCATATAGAGACCATGTGTGTCATATAGAGACCATTTGTGTCATATAGAGACCATGTGTGTCATATAGAGACCATGTGTGCCATATAGAGACCATGTGTGCCATATCGAGACGTGTGCCATATAGAGACCATGTGTGTCATATAGAGACCATGTGTGTCATATAGAGACCATGTGTGTCATATAGAGACCATGTGTGTCATATAGAGACCATGTGTGCCATATAGAGACCATGTGTGCCATATAGAGACGTGTGCCATATAGAGACCATGTGTGTCATATAGAGACCATGTGTGTCATATAGAGACGTGTGTCATATAGAGACCATGTGTGTCATATAGAGACCATGTGTGTCATATAGAGACCATGTGTGTCATATAGAGACCATGTGTGTCATATAGAGACCATGTGTGTCATATAGAGACCATGTGTGTCATATAGAGACCATGTGTGCCATATAGAGACCATGTGTGCCATATAGAGACCATGTGTGTCATATAGAGACCATGTGTGCCATATAGAGACCCATGTGTGCCACATAGAGACCATGTGTATCATATAGAGACCATGTGTGTCATATAGAGACCATGTGTGTCATATAGAGACCATGTGTGCCATATAGAGACCATGTGTGCCATATCGAGACGTGTGCCATATAGAGACCATGTGTGTCATATAGAGACCATGTGTGTCATATAGAGACCATGTGTGTCATATAGAGACGTGTGTCATATAGAGACCATGTGTGTCATATAGAGACCATGTGTGCCATATAGAGACCATGTGTGCCATATAGAGACGTGTGCCATATAGAGACCATGTGTGTCATATAGAGACCATGTGTGTCATATAGAGACGTGTGTCATATAGAGACCATGTGTGTCATATAGAGACCATGTGTGTCATATAGAGACCATGTGTGTCATATAGAGACCATGTGTGTCATATAGAGACCATGTGTGTCATATAGAGACCATGTGTGCCATATAGAGACCATGTGTGCCATATAGAGACCATGTGTGTCATATAGAGACCATGTGTGCCATATAGAGACCATGTGTGCCACATAGAGACCATGTGTGTCATATAGAGACCATGTGTGTCATATAGAGTGTGTGTCATATAGAGACCATGTGTGTCATATAGAGACCATGTGTGTCATATAGAGACCATGTGTGCCATATAGAGACCATGTGTGCCATATCGAGACGTGTGCCATATAGAGACCATGTGTGTCATATAGAGACCATGTGTGTCATATAGAGACCATGTGTGTCATATAGAGACGTGTGTCATATAGAGACCATGTGTGTCATATAGAGACCATGTGTGTCATATAGAGACCATGTGTGTCATATAGAGACCATGTGTGTCATATAGAGACCATGTGTGCCATATAGAGACCATGTGTGCCATATAGAGACCATGTGTGTCATATAGAGACGTGTGTCATATAGAGACCATGTGTGCCATATAGAGACCATGTGTGTCATATAGAGACCATGTGTGACATATAGAGACCATGTGTGTCATATAGAGACCATGTGTGTCATATAGAGACCATGTGTGTCATATAGAGACCATGTGTGCCATATAGAGACCATGTGTGTCATATAGAGTGTGTGTCATATAGAGACCATGTGTGTCATATAGAGACCATGTGTGTCATATAGAGACCATGTGTGCCATATAGAGACATGTGCCATATAGAGACCATGTGTGTCATATAGAGACCATGTGTGTCATATAGAGACCATGTGTGTCATATAGAGACCATGTGTGCCATATAGAGACCATGTGTGTCATATAGAGACGTGTGTCATATAGAGACCATGTGTGTCATATAGAGACCATGTGTGTCATATAGAGACCATGTGTGTCATATAGAGACCATGTGTGTCATATAGAGACCATGTGTGTCATATAGAGACCATGTGTGCCATATAGAGACCTTGTGTGCCATATAGAGACCATGTGTGTCATATAGAGACCATGTGTGCCATATAGAGACCATGTGTGCCATATAGAGACCATGTGTGTCATATAGAGACCATGTGTGTCATATAGAGTGTGTGTCATATAGAGACCATGTGTGTCATATAGAGACCATGTGTGTCATATAGAGACCATGTGTGTCATATAGAGACCATGTGTGCCATATCGAGACGTGTGCCATATAGAGACCATGTGTGTCATATAGAGACCATGTGTGTCATATAGAGACGTGTGTCATATAGAGACCATGTGTGTCATATAGAGACCATGTGTGCCATATAGAGACCATGTGTGCCATATAGAGACGTGTGCCATATAGAGACCATGTGTGTCATATAGAGACCATGTGTGTCATATAGAGACGTGTGTCATATAGAGACCATGTGTGTCATATAGAGACCATGTGTGTCATATAGAGACCATGTGTGTCATATAGAGACCATGTGTGTCATATAGAGACCATGTGTGTCATATAGAGACCATGTGTGCCATATAGAGACCATGTGTGCCATATAGAGACCATGTGTGTCATATAGAGACCATGTGTGCCATATAGAGACCATGTGTGCCATATAGAGACCATGTGTGTCATATAGAGACCATGTGTGTCATATAGAGTGTGTGTCATATAGAGACCATGTGTGTCATATAGAGACCATGTGTGTCATATAGAGTGTGTGTCATATAGAGACCATGTGTGTCATATAGAGTGTGTGTCATATAGAGACCATGTGTGTCATATAGAGACCATGTGTGTCATATAGAGACCATGTGTGTCATATAGAGTGTGTGTCATATAGAGACCATGTGTGTCATATAGAGACCATGTGTGTCATATAGAGACCATGTGTGTCATATAGAGTGTGTGTCATATAGAGACCATGTGTGTCATATAGAGACCATGTGTGTCATATAGAGACCATGTGTGTCATATAGAGACCATGTGTGCCATATAGAGACCATGTGTGCCATATCGAGACGTGTGCCATATAGAGACCATGTGTGTCATATAGAGACCATGTGTGTCATATAGAGACCATGTGTGTCATATAGAGACCATGTGTGTCATATAGAGACCATGTGTGTCATATAGAGACCATGTGTGTCATATAGAGACCATGTGTGTCATATAGAGACCATGTGTGTCATATAGAGACCATGTGTGCCATATAGAGACCATGTGTGCCATATAGAGACCATGTGTGTCATATAGAGACGTGTGTCATATAGAGACCATGTGTGCCATATAGAGACCATGTGTGTCATATAGAGACCATGTGTGTCATATAGAGACCATGTGTGTCATATAGAGACCATGTGTGTCATATAGAGACCATGTGTGTCATATAGAGTGTGTGTCATATAGAGACCATGTGTGTCATATAGAGACCATGTGTGTCCTTGAGTCTGTATCATGTCCGTTATGTCTCTGAGTGTGTGACTTCCTGGTTTCAGGCGCTGCACTCGGCTCTTCACACGTTCGACATGATGGAGAGCGTCCTGGTTCGGGTCGAAGAACTCATCGAAGTGAAGGAGGAAGAGTAAAAGTCCAGCATCAGAGAAGTTTCATGTTTATCTCTTTGTAAACAAAGCAAATGTTGTAAAATGTTTTAATTGATTGGATTAAAAAAAATAAAAAAATGTTTGGACGCATTGGATGTGTCTGTCACTATCTGTCTGTCTGTGTGTGTGTGTGTCTGTGTCACTATGTGTGTGTCTGTGTCTCTGTGTGTTTGTCTCTCTGTGTGTCAGTGTCTGTTTCTGTCACTATGTGTGTCTGTATTTCACTATCTGTCTGTGTGTGTCTGTGTCTGTGTCTCTGTGTGTTTGTCACTATGTGTGGGTGTGTTTGTCTCTCTGTGTGTCAGTGTCTGTTTCTGTCACTATGCGTGTCTGTGTTTCACTATCTGTGTGTCTGTCTCTTTGTGCCTATGTGTGGGTGAGTGTGTCTCTGTCTCCGTATGTGTAATTATTTGTGTCTTTATCTTTGTTTTTGTGTCACTATCTGTGTGTGTGTGTCTGTGTGTGTGTCTGTTGTCGCTGCTCTCTGTATTGTAACTATTTTATTGGGCATCCATTTCAGATTTTCAATTCAAACATCCTTTATTGACTTCCTGTTCAGAACGGACACCTGGATTGTCTTGAGTTTGTATTGTTGAAAAGTGTCAGTTTTCACAAGATTTGCCATTTGCAGTAAAACCACATTGGAAAAACCGTGCAAGACTTACCCCAGTGTGCACCAGGACAGTACACACCAGAGCTCCCACTGCCTCTTTCCCACCCTTTTATTCATAATTAAAGAAAAGAAATGAAACACTGAGGGTTAAATGCACTTATTTTATTCATAAATATAAATACATAAATAACTGTTTGAACAATTGTAACCATACATACTTAAATAAATAATAAATAGGCGTTTAAATGGTGCTCAGACAAATAAATGTGTCAAGAAAGTCTAAAATATTCCATCAAAGATTCCGATGAAGGCGTCCTCTTCTTTGACATTGCTGCAATAACAGAGCGGGTCGTTACTTGGTCACATGGTTTCATTCATTCATGGATTTTATTGTGATTCTTGTTTTTACTTGTTAACTGCTGCAGCTGCACTGTCCATTTGTGAGAAGAACCCAAAGCAGCTGAGTGGGACCTGACTGGACCTGGTCTCTGCAGGTTTCTGGTCCACAAACGTCCCCTGCTTCTGTCCTGGAGCCTGCGGAGGGAACCTCATGAGAGATCGTAAACTTTGAACGTCGAATGTCTCCGTTTTTGTTGGTACCTTTTTATTTAAGTCCAGAGTGAGTCTGTTCTGAGGCTGAAGCACGGGCAAAGGAGAAAGTGTTTCTGTCTTAATCCGAGAGGCGGTCGACCTAAAACATGAGATTATTAATGCCAAGTGAAAGCGACGGAAGGACCCGAAATGCAGGAAAGCAAAAATGAATATATATGGACAGACAATGACAACAGACCAGCAACAAATGGGGAAAAGTCACAGACACATTACAGCTGGGCAGACAACACAAGGGAACAAGAGAGGAAGTAAAACTTAAAACTAAAACAAAACCATTAAGAGATGTCAAAATAACACCAAGGACCAAATCAATCAATCTATGTATATATTTGTATCAAAGACTAACAGATGTAGTGACTCCTATCTCCGCCATTAAAACTAATGTTCCATCACTTTCGCCTTCTGTGGGCTTTATCAAAATGGCCGCGGGGCTGAAAAATGTTGAGAAAACGCATTTGAGCATGCGTTAGCCGGCACTAGCCTCGTTGATTTAACATGTGCATTGTAAAGTCCTCAGTGGCAAAACTAGACTGGTCCAAAAAAAAAAAAAATCTCCTTTCAGCATTGTCCGCATTGGAACGTAGCTTTGGGCCAAGAGCGACTTTTGGACCATCAGGTAAAGACGTTATCGAGAGGAGAAGACGCCATACAAAAGCAATGGATAATTCTCTTTCCGGGTACACCCCCACCAACCCCAAGTGAGATTGCAGCATCTAAGCGCACCTTTCTGAGCTGGGACCCACCCCCACTGATCTGTATGTACATGTATTAGAGGTGCAACGGTTCATCACTGATCCGTGATCCGTTCGGTTCAACGTCTTCGGTTCGGTACAGACGTGATCCGCGGTTTGATTTATGAAAAAAAAAGTTGTGCGCACGTTGTTCAGTCCACACACAGCGTGGTCATTGCGAGCGGAGGAGCGGAGATGCTTGAAAGCCCTGCGTCTTAAATCCCCAGTATGAGAGCATTTTGGCTTCACTGTAACTACACTGATGATTAATATTCGACAAAACTGTCACGATGTGTAAGCACTGTGGCACAAGAAGGACATGAGTGAAAAAAGCGTCTCAATGACCGCTTATTGTCGCGGCATTTAAGCAGCTCCTTTACGCACAGTCAGACCGGGCTAAAGTCAACTCTCCCGCGCATCCTCAGCTGCGCTCACGACTGACGCTTGGACGTACCGCAGAAACTATAATAGATCCATGAGCGGAACCGCTCACTTCATCACCGCAGACTGGGAGATGAGAAGTCTGGCACTGCAGACACGCCCCTCTACGACAGTCACACTGTCACACAGCGCAGGTACTGACACAAGCAGCGGAGGAATGGAAGACAAAGGCCCAGTACTAATATCCCAGTCACAACTGATAATGCCAAAAATTAAATAAATGCAGTGAATGAGGCTGGGCCCAGAATGGACCCCCTCCTTGGGAGAATCAGGAAGGTGCTATAATAAATGAGGGTAAGAAGTGCCTTCTTATGTTGCACTTTGTGTTGTTTTTCATTAATTATGTTAAATAGACATAATTGGATGGATGGAATATGCCTTCCATCCATCCATCCATTTCCTTCCCCTTAATTCATTTCTAGGTCAGGTGGGGGCAGTCAGAGCAGGTGCCGAGTCCACATGAGCTGTGTTTATTAAAAAGACAAAACTTTTTTTTAGAAAAATGAACCGAAAAATGAACCGAACCGTGGCCTCTGAACCGAGGTACGAACCGAACCGTGATTTTTTCAAACCGTTGCACCCCTAACATGTATGGATCTATCTAGTATATCTACTAGTGCTGTCCAACGATTAAAATATTTAATCGCATGAATTTTATAGTTAACTCTCGATTAATCGCAAATTAGTCACACATTTGTATCTATTCTTTATGTCCCTTGAATTAATTAAAATAAAACAAAATTAATAATAATAATAAAATAAAATAAAAAATGAATGAATAAGTAGATAAATATAATAATAACATGAATAATATGTGCATATAATGATAATACACAAGTCAGGGTAAGCGAAAGCTTATTTTAATGCATGACACGTTTAGTTAAGAAAAACACTTGGGAAAAAGGAACAAAATAAGAGAGGGAATGGGCCGGGCGTGGGCTCCCTCCCCCCCTTTTTGGGGTGGGGGCCTGCTTGGGGGTCTGTGTGTGTGTCGGATTTGGTTTTGATGTTGGCTGGGTTCCGCTTAGCTTGGTGAAACTCAGGCGGGCAGACTTTATATCTCATCTTATCTGTGGGGTGTGTGTGTTTATGGGTGTGGGTGTGGGTGTGTGTGTGTATGTGTGGGTATAGACCATAGACTGTATAGAAACATCATGGTGTCATTATGATGATGATAAACAATCTGTAAATATTTTGTAAATTTGTTCATGTAAATACTCTATGCTGTTTCTCTGTTTACTTTCGGTATATCTATGACTGTATACTGTTTGCTTGTATTGCCTTTTTTATTAACCCCTCCCCCCCCCCCCCTATGTGCCCTTCTGGGTTTCTTCTTTGGCCCCCTGTATCTCCAACTACATATTGTTTGTAATCTCTGTCTACAATGTATCTGAACTAGTCCTTTTCTTTGTTTCTATTTTTTTTCTGTATATGTGTTTGTCTGCAATAAAAAGTAAAAAAAATTAAAAAAAATAATTTTAATCGCGCGATAAAAAAAATGACGCCGTTAATATTGATTTGCGTTAACGCGTTAATAACGCGATATTTTGGACAGCACTAATATCTACGTATCTATATATATATTCTGGCTGATTTTGTCACTTCCAGTTTATCTAACGGATTACCTCATTGGTGTGGCAGAAGATGAGACACAGGGCACAGATGGAGCAACAAACCCTGGACAGAAAATCATATATATATTCAAAACAGTGAGAGAAAACAGCCACTAGCCTTTGCTCTATATACAATTACCGGTTTTGTTGTACTGCACTGAAGGGGCACCTCCTAAAGCCTCGCTGGCGTCAATCAAGTTATCCTCGTCAAAGTCGTCCCACTCGTCCCCGAGGTCGAAGCTGATGTCTGGGATGAGAGGACTCTGCCTGCTCCTCTGAGGCTCCCAACCTGGACCTGGACCTGGACCTGGAGGCCGTCGGGAGGAGCTGGTGGTCGGGACGTGTGACGGAGCCATAGAAACGGCTGCGTTTGTGAAGAGAGATTAAGAAATAATATACTATAAAATATGATATAAATGTACATATTTTCCATGATTTTAATTCAATCTATTGAGGCTACAGGAAGACTAGAGAGAGACCAGAAAGAGAGACTAGAGAGAGAGGCCAGAGAGAGACCAGAGAGATACCAGAGAGAGAGGCCAGAGACAGAGACCAGAGAGAGAGAGACCAGAGAGAGAGGCCAGAGAGAGACCAGAGAGAGACCAGAGAGAGAGGCCAGAGTGAGATCAGAGAGAGGCCAGAGAGAGACCAGAGAGAGACCTGAGAGAAGATGGGACATTTATGGACATTTATGGTCATCCTACTCTCTATGTTCAAACTTTTGACTTGACTTTCTGATCTGTTGTTCAATGATACAAACATACATTGAATTGAATTAAAGATCTCCAGTGGCATCTCCAGCCTATATGTAAATAAGAAAATAGTACACCCCAAATTTTGCATCTACAGCCCAAATCCAGCAAAACAAAGCTTCCTTCCGTAATTGAGACTGAAAACGGCAAATGAAAAGATCGCGCGGCAGGAGCGTGACGTTACAATGAGGATTTGGTGACCTCTAGTGGTGAAGAAAGGGACACAACTACATCTCATCTCCGTGTGTTTTAAAGTTTACCGTTGTGGTAGGTGTCATACACGTGCGGCCTCTGCTCCAAGACATCATTACAGTATTCTTCATGATCCAGGAAAGAGAAAATGTTACTTCAATACTTTATTTACCAACGTGTAAAGAAAGTGTTCTGTCTTTACCGTCGTACAGCTCCTGATCTTGGGTCAAGTCCACAGTCTCTACATACGGAGTGGAAGGCACCTCTGCATAACTGCCCCGATAACTGCAGCGGTCAGAGCAGATCGATGAGATTATAGAATAGATTCATGAGTTTTGTCGGTTACCTTTGTCCGATGTGCATTCTCTCTTTAGGTTGGTAAGCGTATTTCTGTATCTTTCTGTACGTTTGCTCCTCTCCCCCCATCTTCATCTGAGAACAAAAGCTCATTAGTCACGATCAGTTATAGATGGAGAAAATAATAACGTGGTGTTATTTAGTGAGAATTACCTTGAGCCGTTTGACCGGGGTTTGGACCACGGACTCAGATCTGGTTTTCAGATCGTTCAAATACGAGGAGAACTCATAGTTTGCGAATCGTCTCTTTGGAATCGTTACTCCTGTTTTGCCTGAAACAAAAAGAACAGGTTCAATACAATAATAATAATTCATCCTGTTTTATATAGTGCTTTTCAAGACAATCAAAGACGCTTCACATGTCATTCATTATTCATTCTCTCCGGACACAGTGGAGATAAACTACTACTGTAGCCACATCTGCCTTGGGGCACACTGACAGAAGCGAGGCAACCAGTCTGTGCCATGGTTGGTGGTGGTGGGAGGGGCTCCACCACCACCAACCATTCACACACACACCAGACTCATTCTAATGTAGGTCGAGTGTCTTGCGCGACCCACACACAAACAGTGTGGGTTGTGAGGTGCTTTGTGTAGGAAAGGCGCTCTACGAATAAAAGTTGATTAATTGATGCATTTTTAATAATTACTTCCTCAAATAAATACATAAATAAGGCACGTTTTTAGCTTCAAGACTGTATTGTTATGAATCCAAGTCACTTACAGCAGTCGTGAGCACACAGGTCCTTGTTCTTGCAGAAGTGGTTGCACTCTCGTTTGTTTCCTGAATCTTTGACAGAGATCCACATGAGCATTTATTCAAACATGTCTGAGTTTGGAGTCAGACCTTGTGAGACGGCTCCGTATTCTCTCTTCTCTCTGGGCTCTTTCTTGAGTGTTGCTGGTTTTGTGTTTTGTGTGAGACTTTGATTTGAGGCGTCGCTGTTTGCTGCTCCAGAGTAGAACACGTTGAACTTCTGCTGAATATCCAACCCCACTGAAAAAAGAAGAAAAATATCCATTATTTTCAACTGTTTACTAGTTTGTTTGTGTTGTGTGTTAATGTTATGGGTCCAGTCGGGTCTTGGTCTGGATCCTCAAATTGTAGATTATAGAATTTGTGTCTTAATATTTTGTCTTTGTTTGTCTATGTTTGTAAACTGTTTGCTGTGTTTAATAATTAAAAAAACAAAAACATTATGGTTAATGTTAAATTATGGGTTAAGGTTAAGGTACACTTTATGTAATGGGCCCCAGAACCAAGAACTCTGGGACATTTGACCTCTTCTGCTGCAACAGTTGGACTCTCTGGAGATTTTCAGATTAGTATTGTATCTCAAAACCTTTAATCTTTTTAAATGAACTTTTCTTTTTAAACAAACAATTCTTTGTAATATTTCAATAAGGATTTGAACCCAGAACCATCTTGCTGAAAGTGCTAGAGTGCGAGAGTGCTGACATCAGTGCCACCAATTCATTATTTTGTAATTACAATTTAGCATAGAGACTGTAGGCTACATAATTTATACATTTATTTATCAGATTTTTTGCATGTTTGTTAATTGCTGCAATGTACATTTATATATTAGTATTATCATTATTATCATTATACTTTCTTCTCTTAGGAACCATTTGTTTTGTCTTTCTTCTTGTGTTCCCTGTCTGCTTTGTCTTCCTGTACCTACTGTTAATTATTTTGACTTTGTATCATTCTGACTGTTTTTATTGTTTATCATTCTGACCGTGCAGTACTTTGTAAACACTGTTTTTGAAAACGGCTACACAAATTAACATTTAGAATTATGTTATTATTATTATTTACAGTTAGCTAAGAAGCAAAGCAGCTACTCATATTGTATATTTTGTGAGCTCTTACTACTGTCCTGTATGTGCGCTGCTGCAACACTGAATAAAGGGTCTATTATTGTTATAAAAATCATTGGTATTTGTATTAGTACAATATGGATAATTGTAATCAAGCCTTCATTGATGGCATTTGGAATCAAGGCGGCTTCAAAAATGAGTAGATTAAGAAAAGTAACCATCTCTCCTCATTAATTATCGGACAGAACTCACCGTAGTCGGAGCTAACGAGGTGAACGCTTATCTCCGGTCCCTTTGAGGCTCGGCTCAGCTCGACCCGCTTCGACCATAGCTTGCTTTTTATCAGCACCGTATCTCTACAAAAACAAGACATTATTATACTTTCCCTTTCAACTTCAATCTTCGGCGCGACGGTCTTCAAAGTTCAAAGTTCACAGCAAAAAATCATCTAAAAACAGTCAGAAACAGTAAAACCACAACATTGAGGATCACGAGGACAATGGAGGACGTCACAACACAGTGGCGCAGTGGTAGGCGCTTGTGTTTCACGGTAAAAAGGTCCTGGGTGCGATTCCACCTCCAGGCCTTTTCTGTGTAGAGCTTGCATGTTCTACGTAGGTTTCCTCCAGGTGCTCCGGTTTCCCCTACCACTAATAAAAAGGAACAATAGGTCTGAATGTGAAATGGGTGAGTGAATGGATGGTGTTGGTTGGGGGTTCGATGCTCCAGTTTGCTCCGTCATCACCGTGTGAAGTGAATGGGAAAATTGTAAAGCGCTTTGTGTGACCTTGGTCTGTAAAAATGCATTTTATGATTAAAGATGACTTACTTACGAAGCTAGTTTCAGTGCAAATACTGAATGCTGTAAGGTGCAATAGTTTGGATGGGAGACCTCTGGGAACACCAGGTGCCACAGTGGGGCGGCTGCGGCTGTAGTGCCAAACTGTGGCTGTGTCCTTAGGCAAGACACTTCACCCACATTAAAATGCGTCTGTGTGTGTGTGTATGTGTGAATGGCTGGTGGTGGTCAAATGACACATAATGGTTGCCTCGCTTCTGTGTGTGCCCCAGGGCAGCTGTGGCTACATTAGTAGTTTATCACCAACGTCTTTGCAGCGAAAGAATAATGACATGTGAAGCGTCTTTGAGTGTCCAGAAAAGTGCTGTATAAAAGCGATGCATTATTACTATCATTATAAAGTGCTATGTGCTGTGTGTCTTACGAGACTTTCTGCAGATAGAGCACGTTGTTGTCTGCGTCTCCGATGACCACAGTGGTGTAGTGCTGGTCAGGGGCAGTTCTTTTACTGAGCAGCTGTGGGAGATTCTTCAGGTTCACTTTCACCACGATCTCGGCAGTGAAGGGGCCGTACCTGGGCAGCTGTGGACAGAGATGTACCATGATGCAATGCGATTCGCCGTGGAAGAATATTAAAGAGATTAATGTCGTGCCTGCTCGACGGTGAGCTCGTATTTAGGGAGGTGGATGACGGCTTCTCTGATCTGGTTTCCAAACGGTGGGTGTCTGTTGAGGATCTAAAAAACAACATATAAGGAAAAACAGTTAAACCAATAGATCCATGAGTTAAATGCACTAGCTTGTCATGGTTTAAGTTTATTTCCTGTTTTATTTTGAAATGTGTTATTCCTGTGTCTTCTTTGGTTGTACTTCCTGTTGTCTGATTACCTGCCCTGCCCTCATCTGTCTCACCTGTGTCTCGTTAGTCTTGTATTTAGCCCTGTGTGTTCCTTCACTCCCTGTTCCGTCATTGTCTTTCCTAGTCTGTTTTAGTTCTGTCCGTTCCCTGTGTTTTTGGTAGGTTTTGATTTGTATTACTTTCATTAAATCCATAATTTTGCAGTTTTTGCCTTTTGGGCCTCATTTGTTTTTCACCTACGTGACATAGCTACTGTATTGGTAGCTAATGCACCGACTATTAGCTCACTCGCATCCCTCTTCAAAGTACCTCCCCAAAAGATCATTTTATGGGATAACAAATATTTAAAAAATCCTACTTTTTGCACAAATTATGATGTTTTATGGGTATAACGCTACACAGAAATATATTTAAAAAATATAGAAATAATCCAAGTTTTTCAAACATTTTTGCGGTCTTAAAAGAATATTTGCCAAAGAAACAGGAAATACATTTGCTATATCTGTGCTTGAACTAAGACTGTTCCATTGTTGTAATATATGTGTTTAAATCCAAATTAAATGTACTTAATCCACTGTTTATGAGGAGTAGCCACTTTTGTCCCAGGGAAAAGGTTGAAGACCCCTGAGCTACAGATATGTTGTGTTATTGTACCATAGACTATATTCAAAGGTGGATAGGAGAGTTTTCTACTTCCAGGTGGATCATGAAGACTATTGGACAAAATGCAGCAGCTTGAGTCCTGACTAGAACCAGGAAGTACGACCACATTAGTCCAGTCCTCAGGTCCCTGCACTGGCTTCCTGTGGCTCAGAGAATAGACTTTAAAACAGCTCTGCTTGTGTACAAGTCTCTCCATGGCCTCGCACCAAAATATATTAGTGACATGTTAGTCCCATATGAACCAGCCCGGACTCTGAGGAGCACAGGGACTGGACTCCTGTTAGTGCCCAGAGTCAGAACTAAACATGGGGAGGCTGCTTTCCAGATTCATGCTGCTAAAATCGGGAACAGTCTTCCTGAAGATGTGAGACAGGCCTCCTCTCTGTCTTTAAAACCAGGTTAAAAATAGTTCTGTTTAGCTGTGCATACAACTGAGGGATTTTATGTTTTTATCTTTCTTTTTAATGTTCTGTGATTATTTATGATTTTAATGCTTTCTTGTTTTGTTCAGCACTTTGAGTGGCCTTGTGTATGAATTGTGCTATATAAATAAAACCCAAAAGATGTAGTTGTAAATATATAAATAAAATCCATCTCACTCGTCCCAGTTTGGTTTTATCACTGGTTGTTCAGACAGAAAAGTGAAAAACCCTCACTCAGCCAATCAGCTCTCAGCCCAAAGAGTCAAATAGTGACTTTGAGGGATCGTTTGTACAAGTACTGTATGTCAAATATAATACTTTTTCAACGACGAGACAGACGATGACCTCAGTTTTCTCCTTATGTTTAATAGTAGCTTGAGCCTAAACCTAAAAGCCTAACGTTTTACCTAATGACTTACAAAACTTCCTGTTTCACGCTGTATTTTGTTCTGAATTGTCAATCACTGTATACGGCAATACTTCACTTTGTCAAACCCAATGTTATAAAAATACAGAACAAAAACCTCCAGCAAACCACTCACCAGCTCAATCTCTCTGGCATTGGTTTCCTCTATTTTGCTGAAGGTGGTGAGCCCAGCGTTGACCATGGCAGCAGACAAACTTGGGCCTAAAAAAACCAAATAATTGCATTTTCTGTTTTATAATCAAACCCAGATTATGTCCTGGTCTCATGTCCTCTGTTTGAGTTTCAAGTCGTCATTCAAATGTACAGAAAACCAGATAAATGTATGAAATTTGAAAAAGTCCATGTGCAGTAATAGATTTGTTGTGAGTAACCCTTTAAAAGAAAGCATCGTCATTTTATTTCCTTTTCTAAGATGAAGGAGAACTTGTTTTGATTTTGTTTTCTTGAAACCCGCTTTTTTTATATACAGTGCGAAAGTATTCACCCCCCTGGAACCTTTCAACATTTCAGGCTTCAAACATAAAGATATAACAATAAAAAAAATTGTCAAGTATCAACAACAAGTGGGACACAATCGTGAAGTGGAACGAAATTTATTGGATAATTTAAACTTTTTTAACAAATAAAAAACTGAAAAGTGGGGAGTGCAATATTTTTCGGCCCCCTTGCGCTAATACTTTGTAACGCCACCTTTTGCTGCAATTACAGCTGCAAGTTGCTTGGGGTATGTCTCTATCAGTTTTGCACATCGAGAGACTGGAATTCTTGCTCATTCTTCCTTGCAAAACAGCTCGAGCTCAGTGAGGTTGGATGGAGAGCGTTTGTGAGCAGCAGTCTTCAGCTCTTTCCACAGATTCTCGATTGGATTCAGGTCTGGACTTTGACTTGGCCATTCTAACACCTGGATACGTCTATTTGTGAACCATTCCATTGTAGATTTGGCTTTATGTTTTGGATCATTGTCCTGTTGGAAGATAAATCAAAAAGTTTGATTTTGGTTTCATCTGATCAGAGCACCTTCTTCCACATGTTTGGTGTGTCTCCCAGGTGGCTTGTGGCAAACTTTAAACAAGAATTTTTATGGATATCTTTGAGAAATGGCTTTCTTCTTACCACTCTTCAATAAAGGCCAGATTTGTGCAGTGCACGACTGATTGTTGTCCTATGGACAGACTTTCCCACCTCAGCTGTAGTTATCTGCAGTTCATCCAGAGTGATCATGGGCCTCTTGGCTGCATCTCTGATCAGTCTTCTCCTTGTTTGAGATGAAAGTTTGGAGGGACGGCCGGGTCTCGGTAGATTTTCAGTGGTCTGATACTCCTTCCATTTCAATATAATTGCTTGCACAGTGCTCCTTGAGATGTTTAAAGCTTGGGAAATCTTTTTGTATCCAAATCCGGCTTTAAACTTCTCCACAACAGTATCTCGGACCTGCCTGGTGTGTTCCTTTGTCTTCATGGTTCTCTCTGTGCTTTAAACAGAACCCTGAGACTATCAAAGAGCAGGTGCATTTATACGGAGACTTGATTACACACAGGAGCATTCTATTTATCATCATCAGTCATTTAGGACAACATTGGATCATTCAAAGATCCTCACTGAACTTCTGGACTGAGTTTGCTGCACTGAAAGTAAAGGGGCCGAATAATATTGCACGCCACACTTTTAAGTTTTTTATTTGTCATATTTTAAATGACAAATATATAGATATAATACCCCACTAAGCATTCGAGAATAGACTTAAAATAATGACTACTGTGAAAGTATATAAGATCTCTGTGGTTTCATTTCAGTTTTACTCCTGACCTGGTCCCTGTTGATTGTCTGCCCCGCCCTCTTTCACCTGTGTCTGACTGGATCTATATGTACCTGTGCTCCTCTCCGCTTGTTGCTGGTTTATTGTATGGTCAAGTTCTGTCAATGTCTGTTCCGTTCAGTCCTGCTTTTTCCTGTTTCTGATTCCCTGGATTTTTCGGTTTTGGTTTTTCCAGGGCTTTTATTTCATTTTCGTTAGACCCAATCCTTCCTGCATCTCACCTCATGACACACGTACCTATTTTCTCTAGTTGTCTGGAGATGTAGGGCGAGTTCTCCCACAATTTGGCTCTGAAACACTTGGATAAAATCACAGCACCGAGCACAGCAGAGAAACCCGTCTTCATCAAGCTGAGAAATTCACACAAACCTCCAGAGGAAAAACATATATTTACAACTATTTACACAGACGCAGACATTAGCACATTTCGATTTGTACATCTCCCAATGCGCAGGCCGTTTCTGAAGATCTTGGCCGTATCCTGAATCAAACCAAACTCCTGGATTGTGAAAGCACCCATCTGAGCCTGGATCAAGCTATAAAACAAAATGCAACAAGAAATACATATATGGGAAAAATTGCTGATCAATGTAGAGACAGGTACAAAGCTGAAGGACAAACCAGTTCACTTTCATGTCGTTGCTTCGGACTTTTCCTTCCATTGGGAACCTGCAATAGAATAATATATTATTATTTACAAGGCTGATAGTACAGTAATAATAAATAGTCAAGGAGGTAATTTAAAGATGCTATACACGATTTTTTTTCTAATGAGTTCATAAAAATGCTATTACTACATACAAGTTGTATTATAATCCGTAATTTAATTGAAAACTTGATCTCATTGATTCAGCTGTGTATGAATTCAGGCCGTAAAAAGTGCTGAGTAGAGACCGCTCTCCTCCAATCACAGAACGAGGCTGCGTCCTCTAGCCTCTACAGCGCTGCTAAACACAGTAGCATGTTAGCATAAGTGGCTATAACTCCTCTGGCTGTAACTGCAGACACAGCAAAACAGCCCAAACCACACAACAGTGAGGAAGAGAAGAGGGAACTAAAGCCAAAACATGATCAAAGAAGAAATCAAGCCCGGGTGAACATAGCTAGCTTACATCGTATACCCCAGTTACCTATGTAACTAAGGTTCTATGAATATGTTGCGAAGCCCTTTAGGCTTCGCTAATGCATATCTCTCGGAAGCATCGCTTCCCGCCCTGAGAAGATCAAACGATCCACCCTCCAATCACCTTCACGTCCTGGCGTAGGTCTGTCCCCTATAAAAAGGGTCATGCACCACAGCTCTTCTCCTTTCGAACTCAGCCGAATAAGAGAGGGCAGGCCTGCTGGGCTCGAAGCTAAAGGGCTTCGCAACATATTCATAGAACCTTAGTTACATAGGTAACTGGGGTTTCTATTTCATATGTTGCTTCGCCCTTTAGGCTTCGCTAATGCAACACATAGCGAAGCCCAGACCAATGTACTCCCAGCAGGCATGAACTCTGGTGATTGGAGCAAACTCGTGACCCTCCTGCTCATACCGCAACCAAGCGGTAGAAACGGAGGTCCTACGAGCCATAGAGAAAGGGATGCAGGGCTACCTCTCCCAAGAGTGCCCACGCATTCCCCAACCTGCAAAGCAGGAAAGAATTCAGAACAAACCTGGGCAGGCAGCCTCTCCCAAGAGCACCTGAACCCCAGGAATGTAGAGCAGACTGCAGAAGGGTCTAGGCCGCCTCTCCCAAGAGCGCCTACCCCTACTGCAGAGGTGTCCAGGCCGCCTCTCCCAAGAGCGCCAACACCTCTCCACATAACCCTAGACGAAGGAGGAACTAGGGCCGCCCTGCACTCAAAACCGAATGAGCCACAGAGTCAGAGGCCACATCTAGTAGGTAAAACTGCACAAAGGTCGAGGGGGAGGACCAAGACGCCGCTCTGCAGATCTCCTCCACCGAAGTGCCACGGAACAAAGCCACCGAAGCGGCAACCCCGCGAGTGGAGTGAGCCCTCAACTGGGCCGGAGGCGGCAAGCCCTGAGCTTCATACGCCAAACGAATAGCAAGGCAAAGCCAGTGGGCCAAGCGCTGTGGAGACAAAGCAGCACCCTGACTCCTGGTGCCAAACCCGACAAACAACTGAAGCGACCGTCTGAGGTCAGACGTGCGGTCCAAATAGCATCTCACAGCCCTGATCGGGCAGAGACTATGACGCCGCTCTTCCTCCTCCGAAGCATGCGGAGGAGGGAAAAACGGTCTCACCCTGATCACCCTAGATCTGAAAGATGACGTGACGACCTTGGGCTGGAATGCCGGGTTAGGCCACAACTCCATCATGCCCTCCCGATCGGGGAGGGACAAACAAGACGGATGCATGGAAAGGGCGCACAGATCCCCAGACCTCTTGGCCGAAGCCAACGCCAACAACAATGCCGTTTTGTAGGACAAACAGGCAATGGTCGCATTGTCCAGGGGTTCAAATGGAGGCCCCGACAGACCAGCTAAGACCACCTGAAGGTCCCAAGACGGAGCCGACCGCCGGAGGGGAGGTCTGATCCTGCGGGCCCCTCGGAGAAAGCGCTTCACCAAGGGGTGGCTACGCGCAGAGTGGCTACCAAACCCCACGTGCCCTGTGGTAATGGCCGCCGCGAACACACCCAGAGTGGCGGCCGCCCCTCCCTTCTCCAGCAAAAACTGGAGAAAAGCCAAGACCTCCTGGATGGAACACGAGGTGGGGTCCAGGCCTCTGTCCACGCACCAAGAGGCGAAGAGTTTCCAGCGAACCTCATACGCTTTGGTGGTGGATGTAGCCCTCCCACCCTGAATAGTAGCGACCACTGAGGGAGGGAGACCAAGGCTCAACAGTTTCCCCCTTTCAGCCTCCAGACCATGAGCCTGTGTCCCAGGACAGGGCGTAAGTAAAGGGCTCCCCCTGCCTGTCTCAGAGCATCGGGACGGTCCGGAATGGGCCAAGGCGGACCGAGCGCCATGCTCACCAGGTCCGGATACCACCTGGCTCCCGGGCTGTCCGGCGCCACCACCAGGATGGAGACCCCCTCCCTCCTTACTCTGTAAAGCAGGGCTGCCAAGAGCCGGAGAGGCGGGAAGGCGTAGAGGAGACCGTTGGGCCACGACCTGTGCGCCATGGCGTCCACCCCGAGAGGGGGCTCGTCGCTGGACCTGAGCGAGAACCAGAGTGGGCACTGTGCGTTCTCTGCATTTGCGAAAAGGTCGGCCGCCGGTGTTCCGAACCGGAGCCAGACCTCCGCCACGACCGCTGGGGCGAGACCCCACTCGTCCCGCAAGGCCCCGCCCCTGGACATCCTGTCGGCGGCCACGTTGCGCTCGCCTGGGATGTGACGGGCCCTCAGAGAGGCTAGGTGAACGTCCGCCCACAGAAGAACCTCCACTGCCAGCCTGTGAAGGGCGGGGGACCTGGTCCCCCCCTGCCTGTTCAGGTGAGCTGCCACAGTGGTGTTGTCCGTCCGAACAATCACATGTTGGCCCTCCAGTCTGGTCACAAAATGGGCCAGCACTAACCGCACCGCCTCCAACTCCAGGAGGTTGATGTGCCCCAAGGGGGAGGACCAAACGCCTCCTGCCGAGTGGTGGCCGAGCACGCCTCCCCAACCGCTCAGTGAGGCGTCCGTGAAGACCTCGATGTGGTGGTCCACCAGACCCATTCGAACTCCCTCCTGGAGTCGACCTGGGGACAGCCAGAAGGCGACGTCGTTCCGAGCCCTCTCCGACAGTCGCTCCCTCCGTGATAAACCCCTGAGGTGTGAGAACCACCTCTGGAGATATCGCATGTGCAGCAACCCCAGTCTCACCACTGGATGGGCTGCTGCCATCATGCCCAAGAGTGACCGGATCTGCCGCGGTTGGACCCGAGGTTCGCCCAGAACGACCCGGCCCAGGTTTTGAACCGCCGCTTGTCTCTCCGGCGAGAGTGAAGCCGTCATGCTCCTGGAATTCAAGACCAGCCCCAGATACGAAATCTCCTGGGCCGGGCACAGGGAGCTTTTGTCCATATTGATCACAAACCCTAGCCGGGCAACGTGGTTCATCACTCTGGACGTGTGATCCTGCGCCTCCTCCCGAGAGGAGGCCAGGAATCAGCCAGTCGTCGATATACGTCAGTATCCTGAGGCCCTGACGCCGAAGGGGTTCTAGCGCCGCCTCCACACACTTGGAGAAGGTGCGGGGGGCTAGGGAGTAGCCGAACGGGAGTCGGCAATACTCGAAGCACCCCCCCCCCACAGAAAACCGGAGGAACTTCCTGTGCCCCAGAGCAATGGGTATGTGGAAATACGCGTCTCTGAGGTCCACGGAGGACATCCAGTCCCCGGGCCTGATGCTCAGCAGCAGCTGTTTGACTGTGAGCATGCGAAACGGTCGCTTGGCTATGCAGCCGTTGAGGACGCGCAGGTCCAGAATGGCCCGCACCCCCCCGCTCTTTTTGGGAACAATGAAGTATGGAGAGTAAAACCCTGTCCCTGCCTTGAGCGGGTCTACCTCCGCTACCGCGCCGCGCTGCAGAAGCGCGTTGACCTCCCTGTGAAGCGCCACGGCGTCCTCCGGGCTGCATAGCCTTGTCTGGAGAATGCCGCAGAAAGGAGGGGGCCGCCGGGAGAACTGGAGAGCATAGCCCCGATGCAGCACTCTGCGTATCCACGGTGTTCCCAGGAGCCCTGCCTGTTCCCATACGGTGACAAAATGAGTCAAGGGAAGCACGGCGGGATGGGAGGAGGGAGTAAGGCCCGGCCCGCCCACAGACGTCCCTCCTGGGGAGGCATCGGATAGTGGGGGGCCCCTGGGAAAAGGGCTGAGCCCTAGCTGCGGCCCTGGGCCTTTTCCCGGGCGGCAGAGTGAGGGCAGACGCGCTGCGCTTTCGTGGAGCAGAGCCCCCGCACCCCAACACTGCGGACTGAGGGGGGGCCGGGCAGGCCCACTTATCGCTCTGGACCGTGGGGGGCCCCTGAGAAGAGGGCCGAGCCCTGGCTGCGGCCCTGGGTCCTTTACCGGGTGGCAGCGTAAGGGCAAGCGAGCTGCGCTTACGTGGAGCCGAGCCCCCTTTCCCCAGCACTGAGGACTGAGGGGGGGCCGAGCAGTCCCCCTTAATGCTCTGGATAGTGGGGGGCCCCTGGGAGGAGGGTTGAGCACTAGCTGCGGCCCTGGACCTTTTTCCGGGTGGCAGCAAGAGGGCAGGCGTGCTTTGCTTCCGCGGAGCCGGGCCCCCGCCCCCCAACACTGGAGACTGAGGGGGGGCCGAGCAGTCCCCCTTGTTCTTCTGGATAGCTGCGGCCCTGTGCCTCTCACACGGAGCGCTGTGAGCTGGTGCTGCTGGCGCACAAGGAGCGTAGGAGGGGAGCGCACGGTCACGCACTCCCTGCCCGCGGGAGGCGAAACCACGGGGAGTGCACTGCGAACCTGGAGCCTGCCTCCAACGTGCCACCTCGCAGCGCGTTGAGAGAGGCTCCAGACGCCCTGTAGAGGAGCAGCGTTGGCCAATTGCTGAGTGAGAGGGAAAAGGGAAAGAAGTTGACTCTTTATGGGAGTAACGGGCCTGCTTGCGGCCTTTATTAAAGTATTTCCCTCCCCTCCCTGTAGTTGGAGAGCCGGGGTGGCTGCCGCTCCCCCGTTGGTCACGAGCTCGCTGTCTCCCGCGCACAGGACCCAGAGCGCCTCCAGGCTCTGAACGATGCGGGGGGGCCGGGCGGTCACGGGTTCTTCGCTCCGCATAACCCGGACGCCGTGCCGTGGGACGAGGAGCCCGCGGAGGGCGGAGATGCTGTGCCAACTGAGCGGAGGTCTTGGACGCTGTTTCCATCCGCTCCACGAGGGTCTGGATGTCTGGTCCAAACAAGGAAGAGGAGGAGAGCGGCAGATCCAGAAGGCGCCGCTTATCCGCATCCCTGAGAGGTGACAGGCCCAACCAGAGATGGCGGCAGGCGACCTGGGCCGCACACATGGACCTACCACCGTCCACCGCTAAGCCCTGTGCCATGCGGAGGAAGGTGGCCATAGTATCCTCAGCCTCCTCGATCTCCGTCCGGGAGAGCTCCTCCCGACCCCGGATGAGAGTGTCGAGGGAAGCAGCGAGGAGAGTCATGTTATTTGCCAAAGCAACGACCTGTGTTGCATTGGTATAACATCTGTCGAGCATGGAGATGGTCAGCTTGTCCCGCTCGGAGGGAGCTGCCAGTCCAGACCACGGAGATGAAGCTGGAAGCAGAGACAGGCGCACTCCGTCTTCTATGGGAGGAACGCCTGACGGCCTAGGCCATGCGTCCACTCCTGCATACACTCCGTACGCCAAGGCCGGGGATTTGGCTGCCATGGGCCTATCCCACTCACGGCTGGCATAATGCAGCAGCGGTTCCATCCTGGGAGCAACCACCTCGCGTCTGCGTCGTCGGGGGGAGGGAGCGAGGGACTGTAAATAGTCCACCGGAGGCGAGGCGGGCTGGACCGGCATCGCCATACGCATCCTGACCACAGCCGATGCGGTCAAATGCGAGAAACGATCCAGGGGATAGCGCTCGCGTTGCCCCACCTCCTGGGAGTAGGAGGCAGAGGTGTGGACTCGAGTCATGTGACTTGGACTCGAGTCAGACTCGAGTCATGATTTTGATGACTTTAGACTCGACTTGACCAAATGTAAAAAGACTTGCAACTCGACTTGGACTTTAACATCAATGACTCTGACTTTCACTTGGACTTGCGCCAATTGACTTGCAAAGACTTGCGTAACCCGGGCCATTTTTACCTTTCTCCGCATCTCTCTTTCTATCTATGCCGTCTCTGAAGAAACAAAGCCTCGCGGTAGTTGTAGCGCTCGCGCGAGAGTTCGAACGTGAGTTCCCCGCAGTTCGCGCAGCAACACTTCCCTAAACAAGCGCACTGCATTCACCGGTGGGTGTGTTGTCTAGGGGAGCTGGAAATGAGCGAGCTGCAGGTATTTATCGCGACCTAACGTCATATTTTGTTCTACAAACCGTAATTGATATGCTTTCACTACAGGCGCCTCATACAATTGAATCGACGCAGTTGTCACACTGTGTGCCGTGTTTTAAAGAGGAACTGGTGAGTCAAACTAGCGCTAGCCTGCGCTGCTCTGTTGGCTATTTCTTATATTTTTCTGTGTGGGCGCCGAGGCCTATTATTATGAGTATGTTTTTGCTGTGCTCCTCCTGCTAAAGTTTGCATACATTAGATAGTTGTTTTGATTATGTGCACTAAGCTAGATTAATATTTGCACTATTGTTTATGGTGCATTGATATGAGAATCAGTGCTTTGACTGATTGGATTAATTTATATGAGACATTTTATTATGTAATGATATATTGGTAATTATGAGATATTACTAATGCTGGCCCAGTTCATACAGGCCAGGTTCCTTCCCCTCCATTGGTCCCTTCAGTCCTTTGGAACAATAACCACTACGGACATTAAACTGATTATATAGATACAGGTCCTAGCCCAATACTCATATTCATATATGCTGCACTGCTGCACTTGCTACTTCCCATTAAAAACCCCAAAGATAAAAAGTATGTTGACATGGACTGCTCTGATTTTATGTGTGGTCTGTGCATGTGTAACTGAGCCTGCATCTGGCACAACATCCAATTAGATCACGTAGATAGTTTTGATTTACCAGCAGCCAACGACATGGAACAAACTGTTAGTCCATGGGTCAGAGACCAACGAGAATGCACCAGCAAAATGATTCCTAACATTATTTTGTTTGCCTACAAAAAGTACGTGGAGACCAACAAGAAACAAATCGCGGTCAAAAAGACTCGAGAGGACTCGAAAGTCAAACCGTAGGACTTGGGACTGACTTGAGATTTGTTGGCCTTTGACTTGGACTCGACTCGGGACTTGCCTGTCTTGACTCGTGACTTGACTCGGGACTTGAGGGCAATGAATTGAGACTGACTTGTGACTTGCTAAACAATGACTTTGTCCCACCTCTGGTAGGAGGACTGGGCATCCTCCTCGCAGGGCTCCACCAACTCCCCCTCATCGTCGTCGGACCCTGGTCCAGATCCAGAGCCTGACATCTCCGCTGATCCAGGCGAAGCAGCAGTGTGGGCGGAGGGTGGCACACCATGAGCGAGGGCACCCTGGGCATCACTACAGGCGGCGTTGAGTAGCCCGCTGCGCCTGTCGCGCTCCTCCCTGGGGAGCGCGAGGCAAGCCACACAGCTGGGGCTTTCCTCCGCGGCATGACGCTAGCCCAGGCAGAAGACGCAGGACTCGTGGCGGTCA